TTTTGCAAACCTCAAATCCACCCCTTTTTTTTTTGTTTGGCTGAAGCATTTGTCTTGATGAAATGTTGATCCTCCATGATTCTAATCATTGTCATTTTTAATGCTTTGGCTTTATCTCTGTATTGTTGATAACTGCAGATAAAAACCACCAGGTTTTCCTTCTGTTCCTCTAACACAAACTCACCACAGAGATTAGCAGTTTGATCAAAATGAATTTAAAACTGACCCAGTTTGTTTCCTTAAATGAATAGTTTCTAAGCATTCTCTAGGCAGAACTCTTTAATTTTGAAAAACCAATTAGTTACCATTAGTTTAATTTAATGTCAATATCATAATCTTCCTCACATTTGTTTTGCAGTCAAAGTAACATCACATTCTAGGAAACAATAATCTGGACCAATTTGTTCATTGTTTTACAGTGTGATGTGCATTATTACACACCAGAATTTAAGGAATCACTCTCTATATGCTTTGCCAGTGGATCCAGGCAAAGTGGATCAAGTGCAAAGTTTTTTCTTTCTGAGACTTTTTTACAGTTTAGGTGACCTAGCAATTTCTTATGATATCAGCTTCTTCAATCTTACCTTGTCCATACTTCTATCATGCATCAATTACTAGTCACTTCTTTGCTTTCTCCCTTGCTACTGCTTAGGCTCTGAAAAATTCACCAGCATAATCTGTATTCAGTCACAATCTTATTCCCTTCAAAGGCATCCTTAAAAATCACGTCTCTCTTGATGGCTTACTAACCCCAAATAAACTTATAGTTAGGATATGGGTATAAGCAAGCAGGCCATGAATAGTTAGGATATGTCACCTGTGTGGTAAAGGCAGAGTCCAAAAGCCAAGATCAAGGTTGGGGGATTCAAATCAGAAATACAGAGCTGAAGTCAGACGCCAAAGTTCAGAGCAACAATCATGGTTGCAGAGCCAAAATCAGAAACCAAAGTTAGAAGCTGAAGTCGGGGAAACTGCTCCGTCTCTTTGCATGTCCTACTTATGTCTATTAATAAGAGCAACAAAAACCAAATTATTACTGGAAAATCTGTGTTAATTCTTCCCCATAGTCTTTTATTTATCTTGTATATAACATTTATATAATATCTCTATGTTACTCATCATGATGCTATACTTCGCCTCTCTTGTTCAGATTCTAAGTCTGTTGGGTAAACACTGTCTGTTTCATATTTGTATTGCAAGACGTTACCAGATTTGCCCACCACTTTGGGGTGCGCTGATTTATTAGGGATGCGTTTCTAGGGTCTTGGTAATTCTATCA